TGTTTTATGATATGAGTTAAAAATATGACACCAGTAGTTTAAAAATGCTTTTTGTATTTCACAATTTAAAATAAATTAGTAATGACATCCTAACATACAATCTGATACATTGGAATGCTTAGAATGGATGTATTTGATGCTTGTGGTACTACTATGGCTTTGTGCTCCAACCATAGGAATTCTGATACATTAGATCTTGCATTTATTTCCAATAAAAATGTAGAGGAGCTTTCAGTGGTCTGTGTTGCAGTGCTAAATAAGTATATGGTATATGATTATTGTTCAAAGAGAACTTCTATTTTTGACTAGGATTTGATGGTTGACCAAAATGCCTAATAAATTTTACATGCTAAAAATATGTTTTCTCTTGTGTAACAAATTGCTATAAATTTAGTGACTTAAAACAACACATTAAAAAAAATCTTACAAGTTCTGGGAGTAGAAGATTAGGCTGTAATCATGTTAACTAGACTATGTATGTATCTAGTGGTTGAGTATGGACAAATTACCACACAGGCTTATTTAGATTGTTGGAATCCATTCCTTCCTTTCATCTATGTGACCAAGGGCCTCAGGCTCTTATTGGCTGTCCACAGGAAGCTACCCTCAGTCTGATAGGCTGCCTATAGTGAAAGCAGCTCGCTCTATGGCTGCTTCTTCACAGAGAGCAGAAGTTCTTAGTCAAAATGTCTCTCAAGATAGTCTTACATATGTAGAAGAATATGCCTCTTTGCTAATAATTGGTTTAGGATTGGCCATATGTTCTGGATTTTGACAGTTTAAGAGAAAATGATGAATATTCTGGGGAAAGGAAATTCCTCAGAATTTGAAAAATGTTGAAAAATCACTTATGTGGGAAAGAAAAGTGTACTAGAAGCTGAGCCAAACTCTCATCTTCAAGTTAACATGTATACCACTGGTCATTGTGTAACAGGAGGTGGAAAAATAGCTCTGTTAGTTTGTATGCATTTACCTGACATCAGAAAGCATTCTAACACAAACAGCAGTGTATAAAAATGTAGCACACACACATAACATTTGTTTTTCTCATTTCAAAAGCAGTGTATGTTCATTTTGGGAATTTAGAATTACAAGAATTCAAAAGAAAGAATTTAAAATTCACTCAGAAACTTGTATTAACATTTTATATGTTTATTGTTTTGAAGCATACATTTTATGTAACTTCTAAATTTAGACTTGTTTTAAAATTGATTTTAACTTAATCATAAAGTGTTATATGGGTTAATTGACCTGTATTCTTTTATTTTATTCATACAGAATCACTTTATAGTAGTTAGCAAATCCCTAGGCATTGGTTTAATATTTGAAATTAGGACACAGGTAAAACACACAAAATTCTAATTCTTTATGACTACCACATAAGTGTAAAGGTAAGACCACTATGAAAATTCCCTAGAAGATAACAAGAAGATAATATTTGTGATATGCATGCCCTAGACCCAGAGTATTTTTCTTAACCACAATAGTCTGAAATTTAAATAATACAATCTTTGTTCAATTTGTTATTTGTCACTTCTTCACTGAACTGAACTGATGAAAGAAATTCAACTTTTGACTAGCTTAATAGGTTAAGTAAAGGATGAGACAACCAAAATAGAATTTTAACTATCTGATATATTGGATTCACCTTCAGGATATTTCCTTTTTTTCAAAGAATCTTAATTTTTTATTACAATTAGAAATAGAATACATGGATATATTCATATGAAATATGAAATACTATTGGTTAAGTGATGAATCTTTCATTTAAAATTTACATTTAACTTCTGGGCTATAAACTTTTGTTTAAATATAGGTACATATAATTTATAAACCATAATGTGGATAAATATTATTTACTTCTATGCAGTTTTTCAGAAATGTTGAACTTTACAAGAGTTACTTAGTTTAAAAAGAATAAGTATATTGAAACAATGCACTTTCAGTGTGAACATTATTATGCATGTATACAAACAAATATATTAGGATACATCTTTGTAATAAGCTTCCTTATAGATATGGAAAATCATATTCTTAGCCTTTTTTGGCAATCTGGTATAGTCTATAAATACACTCTCAGGTTAATATTTTTAAATGCATAGAATAATTCAATAGAACTAAACAAAAACAATTGTGTTAAAATATATTTTGTCATGAGCTGGGAAAATCGGCTTTTCACATGCTGAAGGCTAAAATTAGACCCCTGTCTATCACCATGCACTACATTGCAGTCAAAATGGATAAAAGATGTAAATATTAAAACAGAAACACTAAATCTTTTGGAGTAGAAAGTAGGTAGAAATCTTAAAGCCATAGGGGTAGGTAGAGAATTCATCAACAAAAAACTAAACAGCTGATAAATACTTCAAAAAATCAACAATTGGGATCTCATCATTTTGAAAATTCCTACATGTCAAAAGAATTCACCAACAGAGTAAAAAAAAAAAAAAACAAACCCACAAATTAGCAAAACTTTTTAGCCACCTGTCCTTTAGACAAAGGATTTCTATCTAGAACATATAAAGAATTAAAAAGAATTCAGGCCTCCAAAATTAAAAAACCCAATCCAAAAATGGGTATCTGAAATGAATACACACTTCTCAGATGAAGTACAAATGGAAAATAAATATATGAAAAAAAAATATATATATACTCTGTGAATTGGACATAAATTAAAGACCCATACATCTAGATTTTGAATAGCCCTTTAGTAAATGTACTTTAAAAATGCCTGCAGAAATACCACAATAGAATAGTTTCTTGACTACTTAAGAGCCAACTCAAGGTATGGTCTATACCCCTATGCAATAAAGCCCCTAAATCATACCTTGTACATGTATGTTATTTTTGCCATTCTAGAAGAAATATTTATTATCAATTTAAGAAATATAAGATAAAGAGACTTGAAGATTGCTTTTATGCTATCCAGCAGAACTGTGAAGTCTTGATTTGTGGACAGTGCAAACTTTGAGCATTTCAGCATACTATACATTTTGAATCTTGGTCAATTCAATTGTAGATTTGGGCCATAGGCTAGTTAACTAAAAATATGAGTTGAGTATTGAAGAAGTTATGAAAGCAACAGTAGAAACTAGCTAAATAGAAACCAGGTATGGTGGCACAAGCCTGTAATCCCAGCTCTGGGGAGGCTGAAGCATGGAGATTGCTACGAGTAAGAGGCCAGTCTGGGCTATGCAGTGAATCAAGGTCAATTTGCACTACATAGAAAGACCCTGTCTCAAAAAACAAGCAAGCCAGCCAGCCATCAAGCAAGCAAATAAACAAGCTCAATAGAGACAGAATTAGAAAATAAGGTGGTATATGAAAGAAAAATTTAACAGCACTACAAAATTATAAATATGAAAGGAGAAAGCTATGGAAAGAAGACTTAATCAGAAATTTGTTTTCTACAATTTCACATGCCCTGGAATATTTGCAAAATTTTTTATATTTTGTGTGTCATAACATTGTTCATGTGAATACAATAATGTCTTATCAATTGAAAAATGTTAAATAATGGCTGATTTTTAAAGTTCTTTATTATATTTTTCTCACTGCATAGGAATTATCCTATTATTTCACTTCATTCCATTTCTCAGGGAAGGAGTGGATATAGGTTTGAATTAAATAAAACAACTGGTGTTGTGCAAACATATTTTAGAAAATGTCCCATTTAATGTGAATATCAGTATATGTTAGTTTCACATTTAGTGTTTCTTTTCCTGTCTACTTGCAAAACTCTCTGCTGTCTTTTTTGATTGATGCAGACTGAAATTGTATAATTTTGTTCTCCAGAGTTCCTTTATGTATGTAACATATTTTTTTGCTAGCGCATATGCTTGATTTTGTATTTACTTTTCTCAGTGATTTATATATTATGGACATAGTAAGATCAGGAGGTAGACAAACAAATCCTTGTATGGCTAACATAGAAGAGTTTATGCATAAATACAAACAGTATACCTTTTCTTAACTGTATTTTAAAACACTTATTATTATGTAAGCACCACAGATCTTGTGGCCTATTCATCCTAGATTATTACTACTCCCTGTCCAAATCTTAACCATTCCCTTAATAAAGAGACTTTCCAGCATTCTTCCCATGTAAATGGGAGGAAATGATCTGTGCTGTGTAATAACTTCGTCAGCTAAGAGGAAAGGATGGTGGGCTTGGATGCCAACTATTCTAAGACTTAGAATGTTTTTGAAGCTGTAGAGAATAATCTGCAGCTTTTGCTTTCTTATTAAATCAGAGCAAGAAAAGTTGATTTTATGGGCAGAAGCCCTATTCTCTCTGTGCTCTAGACATTCTTATAGCATATGGTTATAATTACTGCTAAGCCCTTTTTGCAGAAAAAAAAACCTTAGTGGTTCTCGTAAGCTTTGAAGTATGCTATAGTTTCTCAGCTCTATGTATTTTTTTTGCATCTTTTTGCCTTAGACTGTAGTTACTTTAAATTTTTATGCACTGTTATCCAGGAAAAAGCAAGAAGAAACCCAAATAATATGTAAAAGAAAGTCAGAAAAGGCAGAGATTAAAACTTTATGAATAAGAAAAACTTATTAGTATTTTTTCTGATTTGTGCTTTTTTTGTAATTGAAACTGTGCCAGTATGATGCTTTGAAAGAATGAGGATGATAACTTATTCTCATCCTGCTTTGTGTGTAATATGTGGCAAGCTTTGTGTTTTTCATTTCTTTTATTGCACAATTTATTTTTTTTAAATTTAATTTAATTTTTTTAGACCTGGGGATTGAACTCATGACCTTGTGCCTGCCATGCAGGTGCTTGAGCCACTGAGTTGTCTCCCCAGCCCTGTGTTTTTCATTTTTAAATGAAGAAAACTACCACCTTTCTTTTCTTCATATTACATTCTCGATGGTCTATGAATCACAGAGAAAAATATCCATATATAAGTGGATCAAAGCATGGGTTTAAAAAAGCAAAGAGAAAGAAAAAGTGATTTACTGGATCTGACACCCTGTTTAACATTCCAGGATCAAACCAATACCAAATTCCTAGGACATAGTAGGGAGTCCAGCAGATGATGAAGGAAGCGGCAAATGCCACTGTCATCTTCAGGGTCCTCAGCCGTGCTCTTGGTATATTGTTCTTGGATTGATTGAGTTGTAGTTCTATTAGATAAAGAAAAGAGTGTACATTTAAAGGAAATTTTCTCACAAAACCAAACTGGCTGACAAGGAAAATCCACTAGTCCAATCTAGTGCCTATAATGGGGGAAATTGTCCAATAT